CCCCCCCCCCCCCCCGGGACTGAGCGGAAATAATAAAAGTATCCTAGGGTGTGTCGTGGCCAGGTCACGAAAGTGCAAAATGACCAACCTGAAATATAACGTTCCAACGTTGATTAATGACAACGTTGAAAGTTTTCCGTTGAAAAATCGACACGATATTTCCTCGATTAATTCACGACATACGAGTGCGAACGCGAACGCAGTCAATTAGTTATCTTACCAAAATTTTAAGGACAACTTAATAGTAATCTATGTTTTAGATTAGATTCGAATTGCAATATTTTTCTGCTATATTACATTTTTATTAGAATCGATTAATCACTGTCGTTTCATATTTTCAACATCACCAAAATCGCGAACATCCATTATATTCCCGTTTCTTACAAAATTGTCGCCAACTACGAGTAATATACATAAACCGTATATTAACGTCATCGTTCAACGGATAAATCACGTGGATGTATTCATTATAATGTATTGTGTATTTCAGGTAATAATAACACACGGTGAACAAAACCATAATAATAACAAACTAGAGATTTGATGTGAATATTAAACCGATTGGCAAAGTCCAATTAATTCTTGAAATGCTAAAAGCATGTGTACTTTATTTCCATTATTAGAAATCTTTACTTTTGGTGGCACGTCGTTTATGATATATTTTCCAACGGAATCAGAAATTTAGGAGATTCAGCTTGAAGAATCGATCTTAGATAATAAATATCTATCCTAAGCAATTGAACAGAATGATACGCTGAAACAAATAGAGAAGAGGAATATCTAAAGAAAAGCAGTACGATCGCGTAATTATCTCTAGTCTGTTTGGGCTGACGTACCCGAAGAAACTAGGCACTCGATCTTGGGGGGCTTGACATCGGTTTTCAAAATACACGTTAAACCGATATTAGGCGAAGGAGAGAAGACGCCTGGTATATATTGGACAAAAGGTAGCGGAGCACGCTGGCAACCGGGATGAAGGCACTTCACAACGAAAAGGATGAATGGTTCATGGAGTACGAGGGCGACCTCGGATAATTAGTTTCTTGATCGGACACTGCGCGACAAAACAAGAAGGAAACAACACGAAGAGAATGCTAACGAGTATCCTGCCAACAGTTTACACTCCAAATGTACACGACAAATCGACGAACACGCAACGTGTAACGTTTGCCATAGAAATAACATAGGAGCGGAAAATTATACGTCGACAAAATTATTTTGTACAGTGATGAATGAAAATACTGTCACGAACTAAGATCAAGTACAAATTTTTTGAAAACATGATTTTTTATTAGGTTTATTTTTATGGTGTCATTTTGTTCTATTGGGACAAAAATCATACATAATTCGATAAAATAATATAGAGAAAAAAAAGTTGTGCATTTATTATTTTTTTATAAAATGAAAGAAACTTTTGGAACAACCTAATATTTAATTTTCTTGTAAAACGTAGTCTTCAAGGATGGAAAATAGTTGTGACATCAATTCCAATTCTTGAAACGTCCATGTAGAATCTTTTTAAATATTATGAAATAAAATATACGATTGAGCAAATGGAAAAAAGAATTTAAAATCGTAATGGAACTGTCCATTATTCAAATTGTGGGAATTGGAATTTCAAAGTGAAAATTCGATTGGAATATCGAACATGGTTCATTAACCCGTAAGCGTAAGATGCGTTAAACAATATCTGCACGCGAAACATATTAATGACATTCAAGTAAGCAATATAATTATACGTGTTCAATCATCGAATATCTATCGACAGCCCCGATGAACAATGAACATAATTGGATATTAAATGTCACAGTCTGACAAATGTGCTAATTGCTGTTGAAAATGCCAATATGGAACATATCCCAATGTACGTAGGCGGCGATGGAAATCGAAAGAAGCCATGCCAAGCTGATAATAACGCGTATTATACGCAACAATGGTATAATTTTTACATATATCTTACTAAAATCGTAAAAATTATAATACGTTTGAAAAAAATAGAATTTTTTGCAAAGGGTATATGTAAAAATTAGTACCTTCATTGGTACAATTTTTACGTATAAGTCAACAAAAAAAAAGAAATTTTTTTTGGAGATTTTCAAGAGAGCGGATGATGATGTGCAATGGACGATCAATGTCGCAAATATCATTATTTGGATAACAACTTGAAGACGCATGAATCAGTTACATAGAGTGTCTAGGCCGAAATGATCTTAACGCCGGATAATGCACGGATAATGTACTCGTTTAAATGCATACTAGCTGGACATTACCTCAGCTCGGTAAGCCCGTTGGCGCAGGCCCTTGGACAAGTGTGCGGCAGAACTACGGCTTCGACATTTCCCTCTTGCTCTTCGCTTTTATAAAGACGTTAAAATTCCTCGAGCAACTACGACGAACGCTCGATAATCTCGCGCGACGGTGAAATTGCACGGGGAACGGTCCAATTTATGTCGCCAGCATTTTTCCACTACGAAAAAACCGATCAAGGGGATCCGTCTCGTTATTTGAGAAAAATTTCTCCGTGTTTCGACAGAAATGACAACAACGAATGGGGATCACTGGATATTGTTAACGGAGGATTCAACATTTACGCAACCTATACAAATACGTTTCGCTTTAATTGCATGCTAAAATCTCCCGCTCCCTTTGTTCCTCCCATTTTTATTTTCTAATTTCTAGAAAACTATCTAACAGAGACATAAAATTTCATCGACAGGTTCAATTAAATAATAAAGGAAGAAGGAAAATATTAAAAATAAAGGAAAAATTACAATCATTTGAAAAACATTGCAAAAAAGA